CTTACTCCCTCCCAGTAATCCTCTTCTCGAACAAAGTACACTATAAAGCCTATAGAGACTCTCCCATGGCCTATGGAGCCCTCAAACAACCTCCCCTTAATCGAGGTTCGACTCCTTCTCTGGAGTCCTTGAACAAAGTACACCCTTGTTCTTCTCGAACAAAGTACACTATAGAGCCTATAGAGACTCTCCCAAGGCTTATGGAGCCCTCGAACAACCTCCCCTTAATCGAGGTTCGACTCCTTCTTTGGAGTCATTGAACAAAGTACACCCTTGTTCGACACTTGAGGATTATGTTGGCATGACTAAGTTAAGGGCATGACTCTGATACCATGTTAGGAACCACGACTCTCCACAATAGTACACTATTGCCACTTTGAGCCTAAGCTCTCGCAGTTTTGTTTTTGGTTTCTCCAAAAGGTCTGATGCCAATGGAGATGTATTCCTAACCTATAAACTCATGATCATCTCCTAAATTAGCTCATATGACTCCCCTCAAACAATTCTCAACCAATCAAATAAACAGTTCACTGAATAATCAGAGATATGTAGAAATGAGCAAGCATTTCGCGACTATAAACCAATCACCTGAATCTGTTAATTAGGATGTCTCAAATAAACAGTTCACTGAATAATCAGAGATATGTAAAAATGAGCAAGCATTTCGCAGACTATAAACCAGAACCTGTTAATTAGGATGTCTCAAATTCTCATTAAGAGCATCAAGCAACGTTCGCTTTGTCTCTTCCGGCAATGGCAAATGAGATAGAGAAATACACCGAATGAAACGAGAGCCAGCTGCATGCACTATCTCTCCACCCTTTCAACGATATAGCCGTGCCGTTTCAATGGCAGGAACGATGGCAGGAACAATGCCAGCAACACGTTTATGTATATCTGAAAACAACAGTTGGACATAATTTTTCATTCAATGTAACCCAGATTTCATTAAGAGAAAGAAGAGTGCAAAAGGTGACCACAAAAACATTGGCCAAGATCACATAAAGGAGCCACCAAAAACGAATTATGAAAGAGCTCCAATTGTTTGTGTTAAAAAGAAAAATGAAGTCGCATTATAACTTCGTATTATGAACACAAGGGAAGCATGAAGTGTACAAAACTTTTGAACTTCTCCAAAAATCCCTCTCTAAATCCTCCAACACGCCCAGCTACACAACTTTCGAGTAGTTGGAAATTGTCAACAATAGTTATGAACTTGGAACACTTGAACTGACCAGTTATATCTTAAATGGGGAACTATAGAATAGAAGATGCAATTGGATAAGTTAATTTCAGCTAGTGTTTACATGGATGGGAAAAATCAAATTTTAGAGGGAAGAGTGGATAGAGTGGCCAAAAAATAAAGCTATGCATTTGATTCAAGGTATAAAGCTTTAACATGAAATAATTTGTTTAGCAAGGGAGGGAAGAATTGTACGAACCAGAGGAAAGAATATGTCCACGTTGATGTAATGATAAAACAACTTCACCCACTGCCAACGTTGCACCATAGCGCATGCACAAATCAGATGAGAGAGTGTAACAAATTAACTTCTCTATAGCATAGCTGGCAAAATTTTCAGCATTCGAGGAGAATCAAACCTTTTTTATAAGGGTGTAGAAACCTCTCCATACCAGAAGCGTTTTAAAAATCTTGAGGGTGTTAGTTGAACACGACTCTCCACGATGGTATGATATTGTCCACTTTGAGCATAAGCTCTCATGCCTTTGCTTTGGGCTTCCCAAAAAGGCCTCACCCCAATGGAGAGTGTATTCTTTGATTATAAATCCATGATCATTCCCTAAATTAGCCGACGTGGGACTTTCATCATCCAACAGAGGGAAAGACCGGAAGTCCAAAAAGAACAATATCAGCTAGCGGTGGACTTGAGCCGTTACATTTTACAGGTGCTGAAAGGACGTCTGCAGCAAGTTCTCTCAAGCCTTTATCCTGAAACATACAGACCATGAGTAATAAGCCATTAAAATAACCCAACAAAACTGAGAAAACACGTCACAGGGTTTACTGCTAAAGAGAAAATGAGCTTCTCATTTTATGAGTAACGATTGCAAACACATTTGACAATAAAATTCTGTCTGCGATGCTTATCAATCACAAGGGTTGAAGAGTGGGAAATATCCCTCAATTCTAAAACTTATAAGTGCCAATATCCTAAAAAATGAATTGTGTATAGACAACTATGATCCCAACTTCAAACCATCGAGTGTAGAAAAATCAAAGACCTTCTGGTTAAAACATCAACGAAATCAAGAATGAGCAAAAGTATTATGACTAGGGAAAGAACAGCCAAAATGGAATTAATCTTCTTTCAAAAAATTTCTCAATCCATCAACTTCAAAATTTGCACAAGCACATTATATGTTAATCAACACCTATCAGGTAATGCCTAGTACAATTCTTGAACAAAGGCAATTAAAGAAATTAAACATTTTCTAAATCCTATGTTCTTTTACGGTTTTACCAGATCCTCACTAACATAACAGAACAGAATATCAGAATTCTATATATTGTCATGTGCCAAAGCTACAGACGAACTTAAGGATCATAATGCACCAAAAGTTTAATATTAATAGAGCGCATGAGCAGGAACAAAAAATTTACAAAGAGAAACATCTATAAAATAAAGTTTAAAATGTCAACTCATTTTTTTCAATGGATAAGAGACTGAAATTTCATTAGAAAGAAAAGAAAAAAAACAGTATGTTGGAAAAATTAAAGAATACCTAATAACATATTTTGTTGCACAGTAGTTTATCAATAAATGGAAGGAGACACCCCTCGTATCGAGCTATACACACAGAAACTTTCAGATATTAAGTTACTCGAGACGCAAGTGAAAAATAGTCAGCAATATTCACTCTATCAATGCCATGTGGATTATTCCCTTGTTTTCTAACATTTTCCTTTGACTTGAAAAGGTGGGGGTGTGAAACCTTTCCCTAGCGGACACAGTTTTAAAATCTTGAGGAGAAGTCCAAAAGAGAAAGCCCAAAAAGAACCATATCGGTTAGCAGTAGACTTGAGCCGTTACAAATGGTATCAGAACCAGACACTGGGAGGTGTGTCAGCGAGGACATTAGGCCCCTAGGGGTGGATTGTGAGATCTCACATCGGTTGAAAAGGGGAACGAAGCATTCTTTGTAAGGGTGTGGAAACTTCTCCCTAGCAAACGCGTTTTAAAATTAAAATTAATAAGAACGAACGTATAGAAACAATAATTCCACAGTTAGTAGTGGTCAAAAATTAAAATTAATAAGTTCACAGTTTAATACCTCACGATCATAACAAGCAACTGTGAGAAGACGTGGAGCAAGTTGCTTCAAAATCTCTCTCATGTCTGTGCGATGGTAGGCACGGCCAAATGCTCAACACAAACGTATGCAACAGCAAGGAAATATTTCAGAAAATTTCATCACGTTCATGAGATCCAACACTAGGTGGACCTCTTCGAATATCATAATGTAATGCCTGCCAGGAAGTTTAACCCTTCATCAGAATAAAACAGCAAGGAAATATTTCAGAAAATTGGTTCAGCTCCCAGAATCTTGATTCCTGAAACAGAACCACCTTCACCAGCGGCATAAATACCATTAGGACCCCCACCATAGCCATCTTGGCCACCAGCCTACCGCCATGCCATTAAATTCATATCATCTCAAACACCATGTCTTCCTCTTCACAGATGTAATGAAGGAAACACTTCAGAGAGAAAACAAGGAGGCCAGTACACATCTCTACTAGAAACCCTATCCATCTCGCTGACTAGATTGCAGCTGTTTTTCAATCAACATTACCCAAACTTTGAAATATCCCGAATAAACCAATGATTTTATTCTCATTTCCGTAGATCTCGTAATCTCCACAGACGTAATAAATTACGAACTCAAAAGCAACTGGCCTTTTAACTTCCATGAACTAATTAGTCACAACTTTCACCTTAATCAAATAAATAGTCTAGTTAACAAAATGAAAGTTAATTAGACCAGAGCTATGAGCTAAACAGGCACCAAATCACTAAAAATTTCCAATCCACAAATGAGATATGCGATCTTGAAACAAAATGGAAAAAGAGTTTCGGAAAAGATTACGATGGATCGGATCTTGTGGACGGATGAGATGCCGGAGACGCGTTCATTTGAAACGATGTAGTCGAGAATGGACTTAACAAGCTTCCATTCTTGAAGGAAGTACTTATGGATTACCTCTCCTTGGATTCGTGCTCGTTATCATCGTCGTATGTTGTCATTCCGTCGAACTCGTCCTTCTTGGGGCTGTTGCCGTCGTTGCCGCCATGTTCAGAGAAGTATAAGCTCAGTTCCCGCCCGCTTCACTGTGCTTTGAAGTATATATATCTTTTATATATATTTCTAATGAATACTTAGTTTTTCACCCAATAAAAAAACCATTTAAATGATATTTAAAAAAAAAAAGTCATTTAAATAACATTTTCTTAAACCTTTGAATATAAACATAACAATTGACCTATTAAATTATTTATTGTCCAAATATTTAAGTTTTATATTCAAACATATAAAATTATCTCACTCATTAAATAATAAAACTTCGCAATTTAAGAAAGTATTGAAATTATTTATTAATCACTATGAATAGAACTTAAATTTAAAAATAAAAAAAAATTAGAAAAATAATGAAATTGGAGAAGTATTTAGATTTGGAGAGAAACGAGGAGCAGAGTTTCTCTCTCTTCGAATCCTCTCCACAGGTTGTTGCGCTCTCCCTTCACCAGCAAGCATTCAGCAATTTCTTCATCAGATCTACACTCTCCACCGCCCTCATTCTCAGGTTTGCCTCTTCTCTTTCTCGTTATCACTTTCAGAACGCCGATTCTCGATCACTTTCTCCTTCCTGGTTCGTCTTTGTTTTGCATTAATCGATAAGCTCCAATTCTAGATCTGGCGTAGTGATCGGGAGGGGATTTTTTTCTACTAATTTCCAATTGATGATCTCAGCATGCAATGGAGTTTTTTTTTCTGCTAATTTTTTGTTTGAATTGGAGCGAAACAAATTCGCGCGCGTAAATTCTATTTTATGCGCTATCGAGAGTGAAACTAAGCTGTTTTGAGGGTGTGAGTTCGGTTATTCTTTCATTCTGTTGACTGTGAACGGAGTATTGATTTCTGGAAGTCATTTTGTTAGCTATTATTTATTGCAGTTGAACATGCCATCGGCTCAAGATCCGTTCTATGTTGTAAAAGACGAGATTCAAGAATCTGTAAGTTGGTTGCTTGCATCCTGTTATGATTACCTACTGCGCTTGAATTATGCTCACCGACTTATTTAAATCAAGCTCCTTTGAAGTATGTTCTTTTTTTTCTGCAATATTGATTTGGTTGTTAAAAGAAAAAGAGTATGAATTAGAACAGGGAGATTGGAGAGTGGAAATAGTGATAAAGTTCGAAGCTATATTCGCTTGCTGCAAAATCAACAAACGAGACATGATGAAAATTCTCATACAAAAATGTCAAAATACAAATATAACTAGAACTACCAAACAATGTGGAGACTGGAATGCACATTAAATCACAACGCTTGTAGCAACTGTCAGTGTTTGGAATATTTCGGTAGAGAACAAATATGATTGCTGTAAATGGAACCTTCTCCTTTCACTTGCTGACATCTTGCAGATACTGATGAGATTTTTCTTATCTCCAAAAATATATCCTGTCATTTGTATCTAGTATTTCTGTCAACACGAATATTCTGTGTGAGTAGACGAACATGGCATCCCAATACCCAGCATTCTTTGAACAGGCATAAGTTACGGTAGACTACATGAAGGATATTGTTTGAAGGTCTGATTATGTCTTATTCTAGAAAACAATCGAATGCCTCATTGTTAAGCCTGTTCTACATTTCTAGATCGAATATTGATGAATGATTATTACTAGTTCCAGATGAAAGTATTATGAATTCCTCAAAAAAAAAGTATTGACAGCTCTGCATGATCCAGTTTCTTGTCTCCAAATTATGAAATCCTAAAAGAAAAAGCTAATGTTGGAAGTTCTCTGACTTGGTTCTGACATCCATAAAGTGTTGATTTACATTGGTGCTCGAACAGACGATTTGATCTTTCAGACCTTTGCTTCTTTAGTAATTATTTTTGGTCGCAAATAATTTATTTGTGAATTACATGTTGTTTTTGAAGTCAATGTTGGTTTTCTACCACTTTTTTTGGCTACATGTGTATTTTTTATAATGTGATTTTTTTTTTATCTCTATCAGATTGATAAAGTGCAATCCAGCTTTCACCAATGGGAAAGGATATCTTCTGATCCAGGAGAGAGAGCACAACAAACAAAAGAGTTGCTCGCTTCCTGTGAGAGTATTGAATGGCAGGTAAGTTCTCAAAATCTAAACCATGTTGTCTGCTTCTTTTATCTGTTGTGCAACTTAATTTGTTCTGGGGCTTCAATGTGTGACTAAGCATGATTCAATATGTTGCTACTGGTGCTTCTAATTTTGTCTAGTGACATAAGCTTTCTCTGAAAGTCTGCTTTCTTGATAGGAAGGTGGACGAATTGGACAAAGCTATTGCTGTGGCAGCTAGAGATCCTTCTTGGTATGGCATTGATCATGCTGAACTTGAGAAACGAAGGAGGTGGACGAGTACAGCTAGGATGCAGGTATCACTTGTCTGGCCTTTTTTTTTTTTTTTTTTTTTTTTTTTTTTTTTTTTTTTTTTTTTTTTTTTTTTTTT